CTCAAATCATTTCTTAAACTTTTGGAGAAAGATTTAGTTACGAAGTCATGGCCATCACGTGACGTGAAAATTTCCTCTGGCCAACAGTAATACAAATACCTTAATTAAAAACATAGCCTACAACACTAAATCGCCCCTTATTTATACTTAATATTAAATACCTGAGTGTCAAGGCTACGAGTCATTGTAATGTCTTATTAGTTACTAGCTGGAGTACCCGTCTCCTGGACGAAAGTTGTGTAAATTCATGAGTAATGAAAGGTTATCTTAGAACATGAAAAGTTGCTTCCCCTATATATGTAATTGTAAAAAACGCCCATAACAACTGAAAAACACAAAATATGAAATTACAGTTTTGTATGTATCTCCCCATGGACTCAACAAACCTTTATGCCAAATTTGGTTAACATCCATCAACAGGGGGCCACGTAGTGGTAAAAATGCAAAAACGCCCATAAAACCCGCAAAACGCAAAATGTAAAATTGAAAACTTGTATGTATCTCTTGATAGACCCAGCAAACCTTCATGCTAAATTTTGTGAAGATCCATCAATAGGAGGCGAAATAGTGGTAAAAAATGCAAAAACATCCATAAAAATCGCAAAAGTGCAAAATTGAAAATTTGTTTGTAGCTTCCCATGGACTTAGTGAATCTCCATACAAAATTTGGTGAAAATCCATTTAAAGAGAGCGAAATAGGAGTAAAGAACGCAAAAACGTCCATAAAAAACCGCAAAATACAAAACTGAAAATTTGTATGTACCCCCCATGGACCTAATGACCCTCCATACCAATTTTGGTGAAGAGCTATCCACACCTTGCGAAATAGTTATTTGGACATACAAAAACAGACAATAGTATTATACGTATATAGATTAATCTAGCATTGTTTACTCTGACAAAAATATTGAATTTATTCTTAAAATCGGCCCTTCTTAGATTAATATTATAGGATAAGATAGCGAAAAAAAACACTTGTAAATCCAATGCTTGTTCTAATGTTTATTGTAGGCTTTTCTCATATAAATGTTACATTTTTCGGGCATTATAAGGTGAGATGACATTGTGAAATGGCTCAAATTATAGTTATTGTTAACCTTATGATAGTGAATTTTGTTGTTACCACAATAATGGTAGAGTACAATGATACTTATGGTGTAAAAACATAACATCTTTTAAAAAAAAAACTGATGATGGGAAACCCACGTTACATAATTATAGCATGTTTGGACTAGTATTATTTGAATAATCTATAATAATGAATTAATTGCATGTTGTACGTATTTTTACCTTAATTAACTAGATTTAAATCAAATAACACTATTTTTATAAGTGTTCTAAAATGTTTTTATCGATACGCATTCAAATTTATGGGAAATCTTTATATGTGGATATTTTGGCTTTTTGAATTCTACTGGGGTATGTTTCTGATAAGTGTTTTATAGTAATAAACGGATACAGTGTTAGACGTTCTACTGGGGTATGTTTCTGATAAGTGTTTTATAGTAATAAACGGATACAGTGTTAGACGTTCTACTGGGGTATGTTTCTGATAAGTGTTTTATAGTAATAAACGGATACAGTGTTAGACGTAATTTTACTTTAAAGAAATAATATTACAAATCATTAAGCACAGTTTCATCCAGAAATAAAATATATTGTTTCTCTTAAAGCTATTGATCCGACGTCACTCTTCGCTTATTTGTTTTCTACTGTTAAATTTGCAGAAGTCCCCTTTCACTTCTAAGTAAAAATTTGGATCTGGATGGACCTAATACCTAACCATCTAGATCATTCTTCTTATAATACCTTTTAAAAAAAACAACTATGCAATACAACATTTTATTTATTATATATTGTATATTAGAGAAGTAAATGTCACAATCAGTTTTGACGACAACCACACCAATTGATCCTATATTTGTGGATAGCAAGCCTCAATTTCAATCTTATCTGGCGAAAACCAGTTTCCTTATACAATCATATTCTCTTCATTGTAGTTCCTCTACAACTTTCAATTATCCTATAATACTGTAGCCCTATATAGGTAGCAAGGCTCTCCTTAGCGATTTTCTGAGCTGGGGGGAATGAGCCTCCTCCCTCACTTGAACCACTGCTTCTCAGTAGCAAATATGCGAAACCGAACAGGTTCAGAAATTCAAACAACAGGATTACCAGTCCAGTAAAGAAAAAAGTAAATAGTTTACCATATACCATATTGCACGTATCTTCAAGACCTTCCATTTTGTTTTTATCTATTTTGCGAACATCATAAAAAAGAAACCTTAGAGGGCGCCACATATAATCTGTATTTGATTATTATGCCTTTTGTTTTGACTTATTGAAATAAAATTTACAATCGGGTTGGGTAAAACCGCGGCTTAATGAAACCTAACGTAATTATTAAATTGTTATTTAAACAAAAAAATGTGAAAAGCGAAAGTACTATATATTCTACCAATTGCTTCCATACTTTTTAGAAATACTTACACATAAAATCTCTAAATTTGCAACTATTTGAGTTAATGAAACTATTCTGTTTTTATAGATAGCATTAAATCTTTTGATTTTACAGCAGAAAATAAATTTTACCTACCTGTCTAATGATAATAGTTAATTCATAATCTTTCGGTAACCGTAAAAAACAACAGTCACACTTACTTGTTACAGTAGTAATATTTAAAATAATATTGAGCAATTATTAGATACCGAAAGCTATGAGCTAGTATCTTGAAAGAATTGTCATTAAATAAATTGCACCAAAAAATACCCATTCGTCTTCTCTGAAAAGATGCACCGGAAACCTAAATTTTGTAAAATGTGTAATAAAAATCTTTCTCGTGATCTTGATTTAGAAATTCACACTCGTGTCTAATTGATTGATATGCATGTGATAATTAATATTCTACATTATATTGGAAATAAACTGTTTATTAGCAAACGTGCGCAAGAATTATCATGATGGCATTAGTGAATTTCTAGAATATAAACAGAGTGAGTCTAGATTATAAACAATGAGTTCGATTTCTTGAGTCTAATTAATGTCCAACAGAGAGGTGGGTATGTTGATAAAACTATGATGGTCGCCAGTCTATGGAAGAGGGTAAGATAATTAGCATCTTATTTTATAAAAGCAGGCAACATGTTTAGTGGTTTTGTGCATTAGTATTTTTCCTCTTCAGAACATTATATTATCCTAACTAATACAACTTGTTGTTAATATTGACCAACAATAGCAAAAAAATCTATATCAACCTTTTTTTTTTTTTTCAGTTCAGTTTGGAAAAAAATTAACCTTTTCTTGAAAAAATTAAAATATTCTCCAGGAAATTCGAGAGTTTCTCGACCAGGATTTCTGCTTCACTGGGGATCTACAGGTGAACATTGAAATGAAGACAATTAACATGTGGGATATTGGAAGCGTCGAGAGTTCTGATACTTATGCAAGCTGCAATACACACCCTTTTGCCTCTCAAGCCGACTTGTCCATCGAAGATTCTTCTCTTGCACGTAGCAATTTATATGTGAATCCCCTTGAAGACTCTTCCCAAATTGGAACTGCTCCCGTAACAAGGAGGTCACTTGAGGTTCCAGGTCAGCCTCCAGTATCCCATGCCTCTGTCGCTCTCACGCTCAGCAGTTCATCTGGGGATAGTACTAGTTACGACGAATCCTCGGGTAAGACGCTCACTGAACAGCCCCAAACAGAAACCCAAAATACCTCTTCTCTGAAAAAACCAAGATTTCTACAGGGACTGAAACCAAAGACTCGTTTTGATGAACTGGACTCGCCACAAAGAAGTTTCCAATCCTCAACGGACTCACTGATCTCATCTGGAAACCGATCAAGAGTTGGCATCAAAACCCCCTTCTCCTCCCGAGGTAAGCTGGTCACTGAAAGTATCTCCTAAAACCCCCTTCTCCTCCCGAGGTAAGCTGGTCACTGAAAGTATCTCCTAAAACCCCCTTCTCCTCCCGAGGTAAGCTGGTCACTGAAAGTATCTCCTAAAACCCCCTTCTCCTCCCGAGATAAGCTGGTCACTGAAAGTATCTTCTAAAAACCCCTTCTCCTCCCGAGATAAGCTGGTCACTGAAAGTATCTCCTAGTTTACGTTGATTTTCTACCACAAGTTAGTCCTATGTTTACAAATTATCATTCAGTATTTAAGATCATATATATTAAACAATTACCCCTTCTCTACTTGCCAGCTGGCACATTCCAGAAATTTGGAGAACTTGAAGTTGTGCTACTTGTAATGAGTTTTTTTTTTCATAATCATGAAAAGTCCTGGTTAAAAATTTTGTGATACAGCAGGTCTACAAATGAAAATCATTCCGATAATTTCTGCTTTATCAGCATATTCAAAATGTATTTTCCCATTAACTTCTGACCTAAGAAAGCTACCTACCTAGATCAGAAGTAAACATCTACTAGTACTAATATAGATAATTTAAAATACCAATATGATTAGAAGTAGCATGCCATAAAACAAAAATTTATAATGATTAGAATACATTGGTTTATCAGTTGAGTGGCATCGCTGTTAGAGATATTTTCGACAGTAATTCCAATTTTTCACGAGGTTTAAGATCCGAGTTAGTCCGAAATCCGTAGTATAAAACGATAACAAATAAAGAAAATGAATATATATTAAACCATTCAACCAATAATGTCAATAAAACTAACTTTAAAGAAAGAATGGATGTAACTTACTTACCAAACATAAAAAGGAGTTGTTTGCCTCATTCACTACCACCGACTCCACGTGCGACAATGTCTTGTGACCAATGAAAGCCATTAAACTGCTCCGACAGTGTAGCTTTATGAGTAGCTCAACATCCGAGACTCAAGCTTTATGCGTATGTAATATACATGAATATACGTTCTTTGTAGAGATTGTGGCGTAAGGCATATTCATAAACTATGATCTGACGTATAAAACGGAAATATACTTGTAAGGCTTGATGACATTAGTGTATCCAACTCTTATGTTGCCATAACCATAAAAATACTTTATGTTTTATATAATTTAGGCTAAGACTTCAAACAGGAGAATGTGTAAGATTAATTTCATCTACTCATTTTTTTTAGATTTTTCATCTACTGTTATAGTTTTTTGTTAGGTTAAATACAATTCATGAGCCAAAGTTATTCTTTACGAATTATATTTTACGTGTTGTTTTTTAAAAGTAGGCAAAGAAAATACTGAAAATAAGTCGGCTATAAATTGCAAATTTGATGTGTTGTGGGAGTTGGTTAAAAATCAAGGTTACAATTACATATTGTATACATTTACGCCTTGTCCGCAGCTCAAAATCAGGGTCTACTATGCCTGAATCATAGGAATCAAACTACCAAACTAATATAACAAAGTTTAATTCTAAAACAAAAACTAGTCAGAAAGAACGTCATTACATAATTTCGGTGCTATTACTATGTATTTTATAAATGCAAATAGAATTTCAATATGCAAAACTTTATTTGTTTAAAGTCAAGCACAAAGCTACGCAATGGGCTATGTGTGCTATGCTCACCACGATTATCGAAACCCGGTTTCTAGTGTTATAAATCCAAAGACATATCGCTGTGCCACTGGGGGGCAATATGCAAAACTAAAACATTATTAGCAAATGAACTACAATAAAATAGTAAAAAATCATAAAACATTTCTATCAAATTTAGTCACATTTCTCGGGTATAATGGATTTTTATATGCCAAGAACCCAGTATAAAATCATAATGCTTAACATAGCGAAACATGCATGAGATTTGCAATTAGTTTGGGACTTGAGAATCGTAAGGTAACTTGATTATCAGTGATTAGTTAATATATAGGAGAGCCCTCTAGTTCGAAGTTTATACATCTTTTGTTCTGCCTCTGTCTATGTCTGTCAGTTCATATCCGTTCTAGTTGTATGTTTATGGCATGCGTAATTTTAACCTTGCGGCTTTTCTTTATAATCTATTTGCTGTCATCTATGTTGCTTTTGTTTTACGAATAACACTTGTCTATTTTATTTTCCAATTTCATTTTCTTCAGCAAAGTCTTTGGGGAAAAGCTCCTTATTCGGGGATACTGATACGAATTCGGCGTCTCGACGCCTTCAATCGAGTCCAGAAATCAGTAAGAAGAAGTCCATCTTGAAAAAAGGAGACACCATTCATAAAGAAGAAATGGAAAAGCTTTTGGCTGAGCCGACGCAGAAGTTGTCTAGACAGAACTCCGACGAGTTGAATAGTGAGGGAACTCTTTCTCCAGTCCATGGTGGTCTTCTAAACAAACAACCTCTGAAAGCAATTGGTCCTAAAACGGGTACCAGACCTCACGCTCAGCCCATAAAATTTTTGGGCGTTCTTGATGACAATAGAGTATTGTCAAATAAGAATAGCCATAATCCCGGTGCAACAATTTCTCATCTCTTGAACACGACACTTTGGCCAAAACGACCTCTCGTACAAGATAATATTCACATTTCAGACAGCCAGGCTAATGTAAGTGACCTCAATAACCCCAATGTAACTGAATCTCTGGGAAGAGTGGAAAATGATCCAAAACCTTGCACCACATCTACAACAGGAATTGTTGAAGTGTACTGCAGTAACCCTTTGTGTTTATATTCGTATAACCCTATGCCGCAATCCACTTCGCCCTCTACCATTTGTATTTGTGGCCACGAGGTGGCTCCTTTAAGTTCATCTTCATCCATTATGGAAATCCAGCAAACACCAGACATGAATCACAACCGCTCTGTATTCATTCAAACAGATCTACAGGATGATTCCACATCCTTTGAATTGGATGACCTCTCATTCGAAGAAACGAAACTTTTGGAAAATGAAAGATATCAGAACCCCTCATCTAGGGAGTCTGCTGTCTTTTCATAGCTGATAAGGTAAGTTTAAACCGTCCTTTTATTGTACATAAAAATTTAAACTATATAATGTTAGTTCAAGAAACGTTTATGATATGTATTATTCGACTTAAACTCTCACATACAACACACACACATAAACGATTGTCCATAATATTTCAAACTTGTCTGAAAAACGACATTCTCTTGCATGAGTGAATCTGACTTTAACTATGTATTAACTATACCATCGTAGATTTTCTGGACAGTCAAAAAACCTTTGCAACTCCACTTTTTATAGTCGTCTCTTTCTTCACTTATGTATACATCAATATGCATTTTTGTTGTTTTTTTTCCTCCTCAATTCACTGTCACCTGACAGATACAATTTGACCATGTTCATGTATAATATCTTGCTGAAAGATTGTATATAATTTGTTTTTTGTTTTGTTTTCTGTAAAAACTGTGTTCAACTATATTCATGCAAGAAATACGCTGCGTTACCAAACAAAAACTTACAAAGTAGACAATCACTTTCGTGTCGAGTGCCTGTATTTATGACAAATCTATCTGCCGCCGTCCCTAATTTTTAGCCACTGACCAGAGGAAAGGCAGCCAGTCAGCATTACAATACCAATCAAAGTTAACGCTATGGTATTGACTGTCACTCTATTAACGCACCCGCAGCTTAACGTTCAGAGAATATTTGTAGTATTTTACGGATTCGAACGAAGTTTGCCAGTTCCAAAATCCAGAACTCTGCCACAGGTCCAACCCGCGTGTCGAATGTCTCATTTGATATATTATTATTATATTTAAACTCAGCATTTATTTTCTTTCTTATATCTTGTATCATTCAGATTTATCCTTGATCATTGTTGTTTGTTGAACGTTTTTCAAATCCTATTCTACGATCACGATGTCTGTATTGCAAGTCATTTCGAATCTCAAATAAATAGAAAAAAGCTTTGAAAATCTAATGGAATAAAACACACAATTTACAAATGTTATCATAAAACTAGTTTTGCAATGATCGTGATGTAATCTCCCTGCAAAACAAAAAGATATAAACGAAATTAAAAATACGTAATACTGATAGGTGCTCAGAATCAACCGCTGTGTCATGTTTCTCAAATGCTAATTTTCATAGAACTGAATTCCCAAAAAAGGGAGGGGGGGACAATAAATACAAATCCACTTGAAATTTCTCTAACTAAATAATAGTATGTGAGGGGGGGGGGGTAAAGCAAACGTTTTACAGCAAATTCACGAATGCCTTCTTTCGAAGTCTATACTTTGAAAGCCGATATTTGGCTTCAGTCCAACTAATGTCCTGGTATATTTTTCGTCAGAAAGATTTCCCACAATCTCACCAGAGGGAGTCTCGATTATTACTCCCTTGAGTTCGATAAGATTAATCTTTCAACAGCTGTTTTCTAGACTGTCAGTAAAAATCAATGGCTACCATAAACTTCATCAATAAATCTTTATAGATAAAAGAATTTTGAAATATTTTTATTGCTATTTCGTATTGTGTATTTTATTTTAGTGTGATTACAAATTTTCCTAAATATAACCTCAAATTTCCGTTGTCAAATAATTTGAGTATATAGTTATTTGAAAAGCAAACATATAATATCTCACATGGATGAAGCGTTAATAAGGCAAAGTATCATTAGAATATATACATATATATATATATTTCTGCTAAAGAATTTTAGTTTTTTTAGATCAATTCAAACAATGGCGAACCGATAATCCCTTCCCTTTCTTGTTGTTGTTTTATGTTTAAGAGAATGGAAGATAATAAAAGATAACAAATCTTTTATTTCGGTCAACTACGCATACACTGGCATACAGTCATGCAAATTCGTATGTTTATGATAAAAAAAAATGATTTAATTAAGAATGTAAGTTTCACTCCACCAAAAAGAAATTAGAAACAGTATATGAATGTAATCTTCCACGTTGATCCATTACATTACCCTATATATATAAAATCTCTGCATTTTTAACTTATCTTCTGGCCTCCCAGTGGCATAACGGCATGTCTCTACGGGCTTACAACGGTATCTAACCGGGTTTCGATACCCGTGGTGGGCAGCGCACAGATAGCCCATTGTGTAGCTTTGTGCTTAACTACAAACAAACAAACTTACCCTCTGTAAAGGGCACACAACTAGCTGATATACATATTACATTAACCCATTACATGATATACATGCCCATGCAACTGAAATAATAAGCGCAAAATACAGATAACACAAAGCGGCATAGTATAATTAATAAGATAAAGTGGTTCGACCACTTAAAACATTCTGTGGTAAACATTTCACATGCAGCTGTGGTATGTCACACACTAGGCTATAGCATAAAGCTTTGTTAAATAAGGGATTCGAATAATTAGAGTGCTAATTATTCAAGCCACTAATTCCGCTAAGTTGAAATCAGAATACCGTTTGATAACACTCTTTTTATCACACTTAGTGAACAGTAACAACTCAAACGCTTATAGAATTAGTGATAAACAAACTACAGTACTCTGTTCATTTAACCTTGGTTGGTGTATATTAATCAATATACTTTACGCGCAGTTCCTGTTCGTTAGCCAGGTGGTTAGGGCGCTTCGAATCCCCATCACACCAAATATGCTCGCCTTTTCAGGCGTGGGGGCGTTATAATGTGACGGTCAATCCCACTATTCGTTGGTAAAAGAGTAGCCCAAGAGTTGGCGGTGGGTGGTGATGACTAGCTGCCTTCCATCTAGTCTTACACTGCTAAATTAGATAGCTCTCGTGTAGCTTTGCGCGAAATCCATAACAACCAAACAAACAAACTTCGTTAGTTGCCTTTTCGAGGATTTTAAATTGTCCTCTATCTATAGGTTCCTAACACTTATTCTCACAAAGGCAACTAATGAGCAGTAATGCGCATAAAAGAAAATATATTGACTAATAGACGTCAAGCGAGATTGAATGTTACTAAGGTTAATGTAAAGAGATTGGCTTTTCGCTTAATAAATAAACTACTTTAGAATTAAATTCGTGATATATTGATTGTCAGCTTTGAAAATCTGAATTCACGTTAATATTATGGTAAAATAAATATTTTAATAAAATATTTCCCGAGAAATACCCAAAACTAAAGTACGTAATACAACTGGTCATTCTTAATAAAACACAATTTTCTTGGTTATCCGATGCTTTCAGTTTTGTTAACACAACAATTCTTAAGTACGTCTCGGTAAACTGTGAGTTAAACTAAGTTATCCAATTCTTTCAGTATTGTTAACACAACAATTCTTATGTACGTCTCGGTAAACTGCGAGTTAAACTAAGTTATCCAATTCTTTCAGTATTGTTAACACAACAATTCTTATGTACGTCTCGGTAAACTGCGAGTTAAACTAAGTTATCCAATTCTTTCAGTATTGTTAACACAACAATTCTTATGTACGTCTCGGTAAACTGCGAGTTAAATTAAGTTATCCAATTCTTTCAGTTTTTGTTAACACAACAATTCGTATGTACGTCTCAGTAAACTGTGAGTTAAACTAAGTTATCCAATTCTTTCAGCTCCACTCAAGGCTAAAACTTTTATATTTTGTATATATGGTGTGAGCGATTAAACTATATATATATATATAGAAGTGAATATGTGAAAAACTGAACATTCAAAGATTACAAACTTGCTTTTCTGTTTCAAAATTTTTAAGACTCCTCAATGACAACAAAGCAACTGGAAAGTTATTAATAAAACCTTAATCTTTGCTTATGATTCCGGGTATCCAAATCTTTCTGGATTATATTTATGAGACAAACTTTATATCTTTAGGACTAAATCCTTACACTTTGAACCAAAAGCATTGCAGCAATTCCCTTAAGTGATCAGAGTGGAAATGAGAATGTTTTACTAGGTTCCGAGTACTGATAACATTCTGTCACTGATAGAAAGTAGCGTCAGATGGAAGTGTGTTTCCTCATTTAATGGAGTGCCTAATAGCTGAAATCTGATAAAAGTCCTCGCTGATGCAAAAACTTATTTTGTTGGTGGGTTGGAGAAAGCGTGTTGCATAAATATTTCAAAAGAGAAGACACTGCAACTGCTGTCCAGATTACTGGATTACAGGAATATGATTTAGAGCTTACCGACTTGTTTTGCTTGAGAAAAGCTATTTGTGCAGACAGATAATATGTCATTCTGCATGATCACGTTATTGCGAAACCAATCTGGTAAATAGCCATTTCTTGCTCAAAACAAAAGCTGTTGCTTACATGTATATATATAAATATATATAATCTATTTAAATCAAACTATATAGAGTTGTAGTCATATTACTCAGGACCGCCTTTATTTATGGAATTTCTCTTTCAATATATTGCGTTGTGAATTGTGCAGTTCAAGTAATTTTCTTGGTAAGCCTCGTATCATTCAACGTTACAAGATCGTGTAAAGTACAGGGGTGCGTATACAGTTTGTTCATTCGGTTTGCAAATTACACACTTAATGTGCTAGAATTCTCAATATCATCGACCGAGTTTTAAACTCACAATCGAAACTGTAAACATCTCGATATATCAACATCTATCTTGTCGTCTCCCCCTTGAATCCCCATTTTGAACATACAAAACTGCGTTGTCACCTAGCGGATGTATTGTTTCGTTGTTGTACTTTCTCACGAACGATTTCTATACGAGTTTATCTGATTACCACACACCAGAGAAACTAATTGCAGATTTTTACTACAACAGCGCACAATGTTTTACGCACATTTAGCGACATAAAAACATATATTACGTATAAGCTAACATGGTAACAGGTGTGTTTGTCACCATTCTTTTTCTTTGAAGCGTATAAGTGGCTCTTTAACACGTCTTTGGAATATTTAACTCTTTTAGTTGGTTTTAGTTATTTGTAAGTGCGTGAAATTTTTTAATGAAATACTTCTAAAAATAGATAAAAAAAAATAAAAGCCTAAATGACAACAGTTTTTAAAACTCGACCTTAAATGACGTATTAAAATTCGATGACGAGGAACCCAC